TAGTTTTTTTCCCCCATTTATTCTGACAAAGTCTATGATTGTATCAGTATTCTCTGGCACATTCATATAAATTACCTGCAATTTTTGGTGTGCTATTTTTGGATAGTTACAGTAAATTCTTAATTTTTCATGGTTTTGTAAGTAAGGGTGGGATAGCTTGAACTAGTGAAGAACATAGATATTCCAAACTTTGTTTGCCATATATTTAATCATATTATTTTGCTAACCTCGTTCCTTCAGACCTGTTAATAATAATTAGCAAAATTGCTTGAGTTGTACTTCCTGTCTCCAGAGTAGATGACTAAAAATGTTGACAGGAGAGAGATCTAAATTTAAACAAGTAGACAACAACAACAAAATCCAGGGTGGACTGTGAGGTAATGTGTGTGTTACATGTACATATGGATTGATATTTCATAGAATGAATTTCCATGTTAGTGGGATTACACTGGACACTTATATAAGAACACTCATTTATGGAACCCTAAAAGGATTTCTTACAGTGCTTACATCAAAACAAATAGTTGCAGAAATTAAACGTGTGTGTATTTAATGTTTTTATAAAAGATGATGGTTCTTTTTTGCTTTAACTATTTTATAGTGTCTATTTTTCAGCTTGAAAATGACAGTGCCAGGCACACAGTAGATGCTTAGTAAGTATGTGGTGGTGATCTTCACCTCTGTTCAGATGGAGGTCAATGCTGTTGTGGAAGGAAATTGCAATAGTCATTATTTTTATTACAGTCTTCATCTCTGAAACTCATTGAAAATAGTAAATCACTTTAATAAATTCTAGCAAATTTTTATTTTTATTTTTATTCTTTTTTTGAGACGGAGTCTCGCTGTGTCACCCAGGCTGGAGTGCATTGGTGTGATCTTGGCTCACTGCAACCTCGACCTCCTGGGTTCAAGCAATTCTTCTGCCTCAGCTGGGACTGGTGCCTGCCACCACACCTGGCTAATTTTTGTATTTTTAGTAGAGACGGGGTTTCACCATGTGGCCAACCTAGTCTCAAACTCCTGACCTCAAGTGATCTGCCCACCTAGGCCTCCCAAAGTGCTGGGATTGTAGGTGTGAGCTACTGCGCCAGGCCTCTAGCAGGATATTTTTAGATTATTCCTCAGATTTGTCTGTCTCTTTTCAAGTCATTTGTTCATTTCCTAACTCTCCATCTTTTTATTTCTTCTCCCTGTAATTATGTTTCACCTTTTCCTGCATTTTCTTGAAACATATCTGTAATTAATGTCCTTTCAAATATTACAGTTTTTGAGAGACTTAGAGGAAGATATGAAATTATTGCTTTATTACGAGAATAGTTTAATAGTTCCTCTACAGGTGCACATCTGTATATGTGCAAAACACTGTGCCAAGCTCATTAAGAGTTAGAAAAATGAGGAAAACCATAGTCCTTGCCCTCAGGGGGCATACATAGTAGGAGAGAAATAGAGGAGGTTATGGAAATAGTTTACATGAAATACACAAATTTGTGTACTATAACTCTAGAAAAAATACATTAAGAACACAGCAACTAGAAACTACTGCTTCCTACTGAAAGCTCGCATAGGGAGACAGCGTAGTGCTGTGGAAAGGAAATTGCAATAAGGATAAAGAACTCTGAGTTCTAGTCTTTTCATCACCATCAGCTGAGAAATACTGAGCACATTCTCTGGCTTTTTTCCATCCCTAGCTTCAGTTTTTTCTGTGTATATAGTAGATTTTAACTAACTCTATTAGTTTCAGAAATATTGTGGTATAGTAACATGTTAGCTTTACCTTCATAGAAGATATGTCATATCTTTTTAGTTACTACTAATATTCTGTTTTCAACCACTGTTAGGGAATGTAATAATTTAATCAAATAAATAAAATAAGGTTAACTGATTAGTGCAGTCACATGGACTGATTCGTGCAGTGTTTAAAGTTCTTTGTTCTGTGACATATGTGCTGTATGAAGCATTTTAAAACTTTTAGGCTGTATAATTTAAGTTTCTAAAGTAAACATGTAGACTTCTGTCATAAGGGATGGGCAAAACCCAAATAACACTGCCTGAGTACTCATCTCTTAGAGATAGCCATGAATCTGATTGGCTTTTCTTAGAAGCTGTTGAAAGCATCTAGAGGTGATCTTTTGATGCTTGACTTGGGAAGCAAAGAATTGGTCTTTGGTTTTTGCTTCTGAAGATTTTTTTTCTCTTTTCTATTAAAACAACTTTAAGTCAATAGCAGGTCTCCAGTCGGTGTTTAGACTAGACTTATTAGTAAATTATCAGTTCAAATGCATGTAGCCTATTTGTCTTCCTGTTTCTAAATTGGAAGTGAGAAGCTGCTAATTAACTAAACTTTAGCATATCTGAACACTTCAAAAATATAATGTGTAATATATATTCTAGTGCCCTTTGAAATCTAATTTCTGAAGATATTTTAGCTGTGCTGAATTAAAAGAATACTCGTTTATTTTATAAGTTAGTATATCATACAATATTTTGGTTTCATATTAAACACAAAGGCACCTGTGAGACCTCATACAGAATGTGACAAAAATCAGAGATTAGCATAGTCACTTTGTGAAGCCATTTTTCTCTTCAAAAGGAACCAAAATATGCACTATCTGAAGCCTAAGGATGTTGACAAATAGCAAAATGAAGCATTTGGAAATATTCAGAAGGAAGAAGCTGGCAGCAGATTGCTTAGAATTTTACTCATTGCCTTATAAAATTGATAACATACTTAGATACTACTAAACTTGAAGGGTTTTATTTTGGTTTTTTAATTCATCTGTAGACCACTGGCCCTTTGTATCCAGACTACGTACATTGTTAGAAAAGTTGGGCAGGAGTTACCTGGCTGAAGTGTGGATTCATGCAGTAGAGTGCTTTACCTAATGCATACTGCTTAAAGCACAGGTGTTGTTTTTTGTTGGTTGAATACTGTCTGATTTTCCTTCCTATGTAATTTACCTGCATGGAGATTAAGAAAGCCCCCTTTTATTAAATAAGCTTGAAAACTAGATGAATGCACTTAGGTTCTTGGGTAGAATGTATTGGATAGCTAGCTGCCTTTATAATGAGCATTTAAAAATCTGCTCTCCAAAAACTGGAAAATGTATTCTCTGCTGTATGGAAAGCAATATAGTACTGAAATATTCCTCCTTAATTTTGGTCTGAACGAACAAAAGTGTCTGTGTTTATTCCTGCCTAATGCATCACAAATCTGCTGACATGCTAACCTTGGAGTCTTGGCTGGCGTTAATCAGGCCTGTGCACAGGCAGGAAAGATGTACCTAATGCACTCCATCAGTGCAGTTTGCATATGGAAGTTCTCACAGGGGAGCTGCCCTGTGCCAGCTGAGGGTTACCTGCCCACTGCAGTTATTGTATGTAATTATCGAACCAATCTGTTCAGCCCAGCAGGGTTTAGATGGTAATCATGAAGCAACACTTTGGAAAAGAAAGATGTAAGGCATTCTCCCCTTTTCTCATCAGTTATATGAAGTTATAGCCACTCTTACAGCTATTTTTGAGAGGCAATACCTCCATATACAAATCTGCTAAATGAATGCCTTTGAAAGTTTCTCAAGGTTCAGTCAAGTTGTTACTTTTGTATATGTGAAGCATTTTCTTTAGGAACATGGTGGGTACCTCTGAGTTCTAATTTTCCACAGCCACCTTAAGAATGTTTTGAAACAGTGGGATTAATTGTAATACATAGATAATAACAGTTCTGACCATTTGGAGGTTTTAAGATAATGTGGCTTGAATAGAGTTCGGCTTTCCCATGTAGTTCTCTTTGGAACAGAACCCATGGTTGCCATTAGGAAAATTAACAATGTGCTGTCAGCGGGCATTATCCTCTTTTCTAGCTGTACACAAAATGGCCTGCAGCAAGGAACATTCTCAGATGAAGTTTAACTTATTGTTAATCGTTAGAAAATATAAATGAGGACATTCTGTTGCATTGTGAACCTGTGAGATTTGGGGCATATCAGATGGTTTTCTAAATGATACAGACTTATTTTAGGCAACCAAAAGAAGCTTTGGATTAAAATTTGGATTTTAACCAGTTTAAATTGAAACTACACAAGATAAAGTTATATACTAAATTCAAAGTTTCATATTTATCACTCATGTCCCTCTATAATTTTACCTATGTATAGAGATGTTAGAGAATTTAGAAACTTAACGCAGGACTGGACCTGTTAAAAAATGTTGTAGTGGTAGAAAGTAATAAAATGAAATTGAAGGAACATTTGGGAAGAATGGATAGTGACAGAATATAAGCACTGACTTCTAAATAACACTTCACTAGAAAAATAGGACAGGCCCAAGAGAATGTGGGAAATCCAGATGGTTTTTGAGATTTTAGGAGAGCTTTGTACTTTTAAGACTATTCATTTACAGTAAGGTTTATGGCCCTCTTAAACTTTTAATAAAAAGTATGCTAAAAGAGAAACATTTATTACAAGTTTTCCATTATTGATTCATAAGTAGAATTTTACCACCAGTGTTATGTGGTATAAACACTGATGTAATATATGGGACAAGACATGCATTTTTTCCATTTATCAAATAAATTATCCTCTCTCCATCCTACCCGCATTGTACTATGTGGAGAGTATCATTGGCCTGAGTGGTGATCGTGAGTTTGTAAAACATTTTATTTTAAAAGAGTTTCTGTATGATCAATCCTGATGGTTAAACCATAGCTTTCAATAATGAAGTATATAAAACATGGAAAGTTAGAGGTGGATATAACAAATATACCTACCATCTGGGTTAACTGTCTAGTTGAAAGTTCTCGTACTCCCCCTTTCTTCCATCCCTCATCCATTCCTTTAGGTAACCACTATCCTGAAGTTGAGAATATTCTTCCTGTGTGTTTTGACACACCCACACCTATATACAGTTACACACAGACACACACAAATACGTGATGAGTTTGTAGTTTACTTGACTGTCAGACATCTCTCTTTCTCTCTCTCTCTTTAATTTTTATATGTAAGAAGCGAAAGAAAGAAATGGAAGAAAGCCAGGAACCTGGTGTTGAAGATATGGAATGGTCAGACACACAGACAGAGGAGGCCATACAGACCCGTAAGTTGAACAGGTTTGCCTAGCTGCTTCCATACGTAAACACAAATTTCATTTCCTCCCATTACATGAGGGGTCAACTGTTTGGGTCATGACCTTTTGATTTTATAATAAAATGCCACAAGATTTTTGTATAGTATGTATCACGGTGTCTTTTGTACATACGTTAGGTTATTTACTCTCCACAATAATTATAAAGTTGAGACTGGGAAGCTTCCTTCATTTTGCAGATTTGGAGCCCGAGACACTGAATGATTAAATGGCAGAGCTGCCAGGCGTGGTGACTGACGTGTGCCTGTAGTCTCAGCTACTCAGGAGGCTGAGGCAAGAGGATCACTTGAGCCCAGGAGTTTCAGTCCAGTCTGGGCAACATAGAAACCCCATCTCTAAAATAAATAAAATAAATGACTGAGCTGTTGTGAAAGGGTGATAGAGACCAGAACTCTTAACTGTCAGGCCAATATCTTTCCACTTCCTCACACTGATCCCACATAACTCTGGGTATGATAGTGAGTGTCAGGGGTCAGACATGGGTCTGTTGTAACTAAGCTGCCTAATTGTTTCTTATAAAGTTTGTCAACCTCTTCTTTTTTTCTGAACAAGTTAAGAGGAAAAGAATTAAAGCTTTATGGCTGATCACTTTTCACAGTTCTTGAAGCAAAAAAAAAAACAAAAACAAAAACAAGATATGAAGTCATTTCTGAGATGGCTTATAAACTGGCACTGAAGGCACTTCTAATAGTTCCAGAAATGGCATGAGCAAAGGCAGCATCTGCAAATGGCAGAACTAGGTTGGACTTTGGTCTGATATGTTTAATAAACTGCCAGCCAGTATGTTCCAGGATTCATATGATAGGATGATGTACTTGACTCAATAAAGAGAGCTATTCAGTGTGGCCTACAATATATTTTTTTAAAAAGATTTTTCCTGTCTGCCTTTTTTAAAAAAATTATTTTGTTTTGCCTGAAATATTTCTTGGTTTCTAACAGAAAAGGCTTATTTTTGGTTAAAAAAAATTTTTTTAAAGCATAGGTGCCATATTGAGTAATACCACCAATTTATTTTTCCTTCCTTTTGCTAGTGGCATCAGTGCATGTTTGTGGAAAGCAAAGTATTCGACTTTCAGAGAGAATCATTTTTGCCCTGATTTTATTACTATGTTGTTCATAATATGAACAAATACTATGTTCATATTATGGTTAGAACATCCTTTGGTTTAATCTGCTTTAACCCAAAGAATACTTGAGATACCTAAAGAGGGAATATAAAACTTCATACTGAAGGTGAAAGGTTTTGAAGTAGTCCCTCTCTTTTATCCGCTGCTGTCTTCCATTCGCTACTGTCTTTTTTTCCCTTTTCCCGTGTCTTGTTCATTTTGTTATTAGGAAGTGAGGAGTCCCAAGGAGCAATACATCGAACCATGTCTCAGCCAGAGGCTAGCAGCAGCAGCTATGACAGTGAGTGGGAACACAATTAAGGAGTATTTATAAAGATACAGCAGTATTCTTTAAAAACAATCCCTTAAATTTTAAAACTGGCAATTTTAGTTTCAGAAAGATCCTGCATTGTTCTAGTGAGATTGACACTCATTAAGTCTAAGGCAGAGTCTCAGCTGTGCGTTGGGAAGACTCATCCCTCTCTTGACTGCCTGGACATCATTTGTTACCTGAACTTTGCTTAATGAGCATCAAGGGTTTTTGTCTTGATAAATAAATGCCTTTAAATTCTAGTATAATTATGAAATGTTTTTAACCTAAATTTTTAGTGTAAGGTCTTCCACTGATGGTTTTTCCCATGAGAAAATATATTAGTATTTTTGTTATTTTATTAATGACAAAAGAGTAAAGTAGTCATAAATAATTTAAGGAGAACAATTCAGTTTTTTTGACATAACTTTTTAAGAAGATAAAGAATAATCAGATTCACCCTTATTCATATAAACTCAGAATTACTTTTCTTAAAATGCTGTTTATTTCCCACATTACAGTTCACTTTTTCCCCCTAAAGTACAAGGCGAGTTAAGGTATTTTACTATCAAAATAATCATAAGTGAGAGGAAATATTATCTGATAGTAAAATGTTATTGCTTCCAGCAAAAAGAAAAAGCCAAGAGTTTGTGTAAATGTATATTTTTAAATTTATCAGTGTAAAAGTAACTTGAAGGAAAAGACACATTATTACGTTTGTTTTTTTGATTTTTAAGATATATAGTGCAATTCAGTGAATACTGTGTTTTAGGGCTTTAAGATTTTGTGTCAAACATGTTTCAAGAATGGTTACCTCTAACAGCAGCTTTAGAAATGTCAGTTTCTTCATTAACAATTTTATTTTCAAACACAATTTATGATTTACAGTATGGTAAGAGATTTTTCTCACTGTGTGATCTTTCAGAATGCTGTGCCTAGCAAAATGGGAGCAACTTTCCTTTAATATCTATTTAGACCATTTTAAAAACGTGTATAATTTTCTTGATACACCTAAACTCATTTTGAATGGTTGGGGGTCTATTGTGTAAGAACACATTCTGAAAGCTTTCAAAATGTGTATTGTGTAGGTTTTCTCAGATAAAGAGAGGAGGTGATGGGATGGTTTTCAAGAAGAACAGAGGCCTCTAATCCTTTTATTTTTATGCAAGGCATAATTTTTACCAGTTGAGAAAATTTGGTTATTTGCTGCAAGTAATTTTTCCCCTCACAAAATAAGCCTTTAAAAATCATGCATATTCTGGCATTTCAAAATTATGCCAGTATTTCAGAATTGTGCTAAAAATTAGCTAATATAGTCATGATATTTATGGCTGGTGTACTTTCCCCCCTCCTTTTCATAAAATGGAGACTACTTTTGTTGGTATTATTTTTAAGAACCTTGGATTTTGGACCATTCCTGAGGAATCTTTGGAGAAAGCATGACTAGTCAAAAAGTAGATATTTTTAAGGGAACCCTACAAAGAAATGTCCTACTTTTTTTCCTACTGCATTATAAAATCATAGAAAAGCATCCCAAACTCGTATGTTATTTTCCAAAAATCAAATTACATAACGTTAGACTTATGATTGGACCCTTTGCCAGTAGTGTATATTATGAAAATGGTTATATTTTAAATTAAAGAGATAAGAAGATAGATTTTTTTTGTAACAATTAGAATTGATTATTAGGGAAAATATTGAATTGATTTATGCAGCAAAGTCAACAAGGTGCGTAGGACTGATTATATAATAAATTCCAGGCAGTAGTAGCCCTTTTAGTTGCAGTGAGAAACTTTGGATTGAAGGAGATAAGCAGCAATGATATTTAATTTCAGAGTAAAATGGCAAATTAAGACATTAATGAGAAGAATGCTATTTGAATATAGCTTTATAGTTGTTAGTTTAGTGTTCTTTGTAGTGTGGTTAAAGATTTAAAATGTATTGAAAGGGAGATACAGTATTGATTATTTACCTTGATTTTGTAATACCCTTTATCCAAATCTCACTATCACAACATTTTCAGTTTTCTGTGCAGAATTAATTTCAAATTTCTTGAAATAGGCCGGGCGCAGTGACTCGTGCCTGTAATCCCAGCAGTTTGGGAGGCCGAGGCGGGTGCATCATTTGAGGTCAGGAGTTCAACACCAGCCTGACCAACGTGGTGAAAGTCTTAAGTCCTACTAAAATACAAAAATCAGCCGGGAGTGGTGACGGGCACCTGTAATCTCATCTACTCTGGAGGCCGAGGCAGGAGAATCACTCGAACCCAGGAGGCGGAGGTTGCAGTGAGCCAAGATCGTGTCACTGCGCTCTAGCCTGGCAACAAAGCGAGACTCCCTCTCAAAAAATCATAAAAATAAAATTTCTTGAAATAAATACCTAAAAATCTACTGTGGGATATTTTTAATAGATGGCTGTGTTACAGAAATTTAAGAAAAAACTCAAATTTTAGAATCAGTCATAGTACAGTATATAAGGTGTGTATTATGAGTGGCAGATAAAAGGATATTCATGTAAACTTGAAATTTGCATTCATTGAACTGTATCGTGATTGAACAGAAACTATAACTTGGAAACATTAAAAATGCTAGTTTTGAAACTAACTTTCATGTTAAGTAACTAAATAACCCATGATGAGAAAACCTGTAGATGCATATGGTGGAATTTTGTTCACATTCAAAGAATGTTTTGTACTTTTCAGAAAAGAAGTATTGATCTTTTGTGTTTTTTTTTGGTGCAGTCCTTGATTGATTATGAGCACCATACTGTCCCTCCCTCTGGTGCCCCTGCTCTTTCCTGGCAAAGCATAGCATGCGGCAGTGGGAAAGAAATGGCCCTGCTTCTTTTGCCAGCACTAGGCAGCCGTAATCAGGCTGACTGCTGCGCCCAGAGGTGGAGTAGGAGTAGTAGGTGGGGTGAAATGTCTCCGTGGTGAGGCAGAATTCCCATGCCCCCAGCAGAGAGTCACTGATTTATTCCAAACCAAGAATAGTTAGATAGGAGCTGTCTAAGGGACTAAGACCAGCATCACATATGATCCTTTTGTAGGAGGCTACTCATCTGGGACCTGTATAATTCCTAGCAGAAAAGACTTTCCATTTCAGTATATCCCAGTGCTCTCCTGCCTAAAGGGTGTAGGTAATAGGCTTTAAAAAGCAACTCATTCCTTTGCTTTTCATAACATGCATGACCTCATCGCTTCCCCCTAAGGAATGAATGCTTATCTATATTGCTAAGGTTTATATTTGGAGATAATGTTTTAAATTTTACAATAAATTTAAATTTTGGAGAGAAATATTTCAGTATTAGTAAAAATTAGATACGTTTTATCAGTCAAAGCATTTTTATATGGCTTAAGATTAGAAGGTAGGTTTTGTCAGCATATTTTTTGACATATTAAAAAATGACCCAATTTTTTAAGATTTTCAGAGTTTTAGCAGTCATACTTTTGTATGTCAATTTTATCTTTGCAAATCACCAGAGTCAATTCGATTTTAAAATGTACTATATTTAGAGATATTTATATTTCTGTTCTTTTGCTTTTGTCAATTGTTGATTAATGATTTCAGTTTCTTTGATTTATCTTCAAGGTTCAAGAACCAGAAAGAGAGTCCAGAAGTAATTCAGATGCTGTGAACCAGCTTTCCTTCTCTTTGTTTTCTTTTGACTTTTTTCTCCTTTTCTATTTGAAGTGTTTTATTTTCATGGGAGTCTTGCGAGGTGGAAGTAATAATTAAATACCCATGTGTTCAGAAAACCAACTTTTTTTATAAAAATAAATATTTTGTACAATTCATTAAAGGCTAATTTATGAAATTTCAAAATCTTCAGATTATACTCCTTAAGTTATTCCAAAGCCGTGTGTTTGTGATGTTTTGGAGTACATATATATGAAAATTATTATGATATGCACTTTTCTAATCATTGTACATTTCTCAGAGTGGATAAAAATGTTTGACAGAGTCCTCACTTTTTAGGAAATGCAAAGCTTAAAATAAAAATCTCTTTTGTTTGATACAAACGCACAGTATGTTGTGGCTGTAAGGTTTGGTTTGATTTGTATTGATTTTGTTCTGTTCCAAAATCTTTTATTAAGCACCTGCTGTATGAGACAGGAGGTACAAAGATGGGAAAGGAATATGAAATAAAAAGTGGAGGAAGTGTATCCATGAGAGAGAAAATCTACATAAATGAAAGATTACATAAGAATTATGTCAGTGTGCAAGCTGTATGACAAGAAAACAAGTGGCAAATGATGAAGTGGTGGTGTAATTAAAGATTGCATAAAGACTGGCTTTGTCTATGGAAGACCTATGAACTAGATATTAACAGATCCTATTCATTCACAGTTTATTTTTCTTAAAAGTTTCACTTTCATAGCATGTAATATTTATACAGTAAACCAGGCACTTCAGAGTTTCAGTAATCAGAAAGTTTAAGATCTGAAATTTTTTTAGTTGCCTTGGGAACAAAAGCTTGTAATTTTAACACATTTATGAACAATTTCGTGATTCATTCCTCAAAGTTTTCTTGGTCAGAGAAATCGGGATTGGACTCTATTTTCTGACGGATGGTATGCTTTACCACTTAATAACATGCACAGTGTGTTTAGAAGGTATATGGACATAGTTTCACTTAAATATTTAAGTATTTTAATATGTATTCAAAATACAGTTATCACATTAAACTGGTGATTTGTCTACTACTTAGGACAAACCTAAAGTAGGTATTTCAATTTTTAAAAGCAAGTCGGTTTGAGGAAAGAAGTAAATGTACAGGTGGGATATGGACATACCAGAAATTGTCAAGGTTGTACCAAGTTTGAGAAACTATGAACCAGTACAAAGACTATAACTTGTGGCTTTCTTATGTGGATATTTAGTGATCATGTGAAGCATTTATCACTGCAATGGTTAGATACTGAAAAATGCAAAACATCTACAGACTTTCCTTTGAAGATTAACCTTTTAATGCCTCCTGAAGTTCTAGAGCAACGTATCTTTACAGATTAGAAAATTTGACTTTGGGCAGAGGCTCCTCCTGCTTTCTGTAGAATGTTAGGTTTTAGTACTTATCTGTGTTAATGCCCCCAAGTTCATTTGTAACACCTAAATCAACTCTCAAGTTCTGTTTTAAACACATTAATGCTTAAAATAGAGTAAACTGTGTGCGATGTGTTTTTCTGTATATGCCTTAGCCTCCTTATTTTTCACAATATAGAAACATGGAAAACTTGGTTAAATAATAAGAAAACAAATATTTCCTCACATATTGTTTTAAGTAAGTGCTGGCATTTTCTTAAATGTTACTGTATTGGCAAGGCTACAGAAATTAATGAAAAACTACTGGCCATAGTATCCAGTTTGATTCGTTTGCTGCATCCCTCGTTCTGTTTTATTCCCTATCTTGTACTGTTTTTTTTTCTACTCCCCTTTTAAGAAATGATTAAGCAACCTCGTCATTCAGAGTAATTTTTTTTCTTGTCCTTTTCAGTTCTATATTTAGTATTTTTATCTTGCATTGTTTTTATTTTCTTTCCAATGCCCGAATGGAGTAGATTTGCCATTTTTAGTTCTCCTTTCACAATCCAGCTTCCATATTTTAACATGTTCTTGGTTCCATTTTCTCTTGCCTTCTCTGCCATTTTCCTTGGGTCCTCATTGAGCTGAGGTTTTCTAGTCTGTTGAGGATAAACACCACTGCCAGGCTCTTGTCCTTCACACAAGAGGATGTATATATGCTCTACATTTTTTAGAAAGCAACTGATAAGTCTTTGGTAACTAAGCCCTGAAGTTAAATAGCTTCTAGGTGTTCTTCAGTAGTGATCTAAGACAAATCAAACACTAATAAGCCAGTTATAAAACCCTGATTATTGCTTTGAATTACTAAATTAAGTATGCATATAAAGACCCAAGTTGCATAGCAATAAAGTAGTGGTGGAAATATAAACAATTTATTTGTATTTGTGTGGGGAGATATATATGTCCACAGTTGAACATTATATTTTTGTTAATTCTTTAAATTTCTGTTTTAATGTGCTTTATATTCTTTGGATTATAAGGGTGTATTAATAATACATGGCCATTTTATATAATTTAGAACATACAGAAAAGTGTCAACAGACAAACCAGCCATAATACTACTACCCACAGGCAACCACTATTAATGTTTTGACACATTTTCTTCAGTCATTTCTATGCGCTTTTATTTTTAAACAGTTACACTTCATATACAGCTTTACATTCTTCTTTTTAAAATTAACATTAAATACTTTTTACATTATTATAAATCCTTCATGAATATAACTTCTATGTTTTCTTAACTTTTTAAAATGAATTTATGATACTTTCATGACCATTTTTGTATTATTGGGCATTTAAGTTTTCAGTACTGGGATATTATAAACAATGTTTTTGAACAAAATTGGGCAGTAATCTTCGTTGACATGTGAATATTCTTAGATTTTCAAAAGGGAGCCACTGGGTCAAAGACTATGAAATGAAAAGTTGTGGATACTTACCAAATTGCTTTGCAAAAATCTATCAGTTAACACTTTGCCCAGTAGATCTGAGTGCCCAACCTGCATTTTTGTCATCCTTGAGGGTTATAGACTGAAAGTTGGTGTGGCCCGCATTGTTCCTGTGTTTAACCCCTAAGATGATGGTCTTTGGAGGTGGACCTTTGGGAGGTGATTAGGTCATGAGGGTGAAGGCTTCATGAATGGGATTAATGGCTTTATAAGGGAAAGGGGAGAGATGATGTCTGTCTCTGTCATGTGACCATCTGCAAACCAGCCTCCAGAACTGTGGGAAATAAATGTTTGCTATTTAGGCCACCCAGACTAACACATTAAATTTTATTTTTATAATTTGATTAGGTAATTTTTTTTTTTAATCGCTAGTGCACCCAAACCTTTATTTGTAAACTAATCACTCTTTTCTTTTTGGTGTGTTGGTAAGTACTGTTTATACAGTAATGACCTTAACTCTTTGCCATTTTTGTTGCTGACTTTTTCCTGTTTATTTTTTGTGTATGATATGTTTTTAATTTTTATGAAGTTTAGCTTTTATCGCTTTAATCTGTTGATCTTTCATTGTAATTTCTGTCACTGTTTTAAAATGTTTTTCATCCAAAAATTAGAAATATTTACCATGACTTTTTCTAGGCTTTTTTGTTTTAATGCTTCTAAATTTTCAATCTGTATGGGATTTATTTTGGTAAATGTATGCCATGAGGTGAGGAACACAAAGATTTTTTTCCTAAGCAACTAGCCAGTAACTTCAGTACCATTTGTTAAATAAATGACCTCCTCCACCTTTCCTCCACCCTGGTTTGGGATGCTTGCTTGATTACATGCTCTTGTTTCTAGACTATTCGATTTCATTGATGTGTCTGTTCTTACGCCAGCACCACACTGACTTAGTTAATGCCGTTTTACTTATTTATTCTAATTTAGTGCCCACACCGCATTCATAGAAATCAGAATTCACTTACGATCCCACCGCCACTACAGAAATCCAACTCTTGTCCTTTAGCTGTGTTACTCTTAGTCCTATTTCATGCCTGCTTAATTTTTTAGTTATAACAGTTGCATGGATAAAATTTTTTAGTTTTTTTAAAAGTTCCACAGGTTATTCTGTAATCTTGTAACTTACTTAGTTCTACGGATAGAGAAAATACAAGTCACATTAAAGGATTAATATTATAAAAGGGTCTTGACATGCAGATAGCCTTATACACTATATTAGTAATTGTATGCAGTCTACTGCTGACCAGATAGTTTAGACAACTTTTTTTTTTTTTTTTTTTTGAGACGTAGCCTCGCTCTGTCCCCCAGGCTGGAGCACAGTGGCCAGATCTCAGCTCACTGCAAGCTCCGCCTCCCGGGTTCACGCCATTCTCCTGCCTCAGCCTCCCGAGTAGCTGGGACTACAGGCGCCCGCCACCTCACCCGACTAGTTTTTTGTATTTTTTAGTAGAGACGGGGTTTCACCATGTTAGCCAGGATGATCTCGATCTCCGGACCTCGTGATCCGCCCGTCTCGGCCTCCCAAAGTGCTGGGATTACAGGCTTGAGCCACTGCGCCCAGCCTTAGAGGACTCTTTATCACTTGCGTGTTACACAAATAAAATGCTTACCATTTCCACTGTATTGAGGATGCGTTTGTACATACAATGGTGAGTTTATGATGGCATAGCATTTTGCAACTTAAGAATAGCATTCTTGAATTTTTGTAGTTTGGCTTGTCATGAAGTTCCCTGTAAAACTTCTGCATGGAGAAAATTCAGTTTCATTTGTAAACCACTGCAGATGATCTTCAAAAAACCGTGTTCTTACACTAAGTTAAGTCCAATGTTAGAACGTTGTTCTGAGATGGCAGCCATGTGAGTGGAGATGATAATATAATATTTGTGCCTGGGGTGCAGCAGGGAGGAGTGAATCCAGAGTTTGGGGAGAGGGTGGAACAGTCGTCTGAATGCTATTTCCACTTTCCTGTGTGTTGGCTGTCTGCTTCTGATATCCTATAGAAACCAGTGACAACCCATCACAGTTATTTAAAATGAACACTGTATAATACCTGGGCAACAGTTTCTTTAAAAGTGGAAAAGTTGCTGTATTCAATATTCTCTCTGGCCTTGACACAAAAATCATAGTTCAGAAGTTCATGGTGGTGGTGGTTGGTAAAATTCTCAGATGTGAGAAGGGTCCCTACACACTTGTGTAGACTTTCCCCATAAGGAACCAATATGTGTTAGTACTTAAAAGTCAAAGTAGAGCCACTGAAGGGTCTGCTAAACCTGAAGACTGGAAAGTTCTAGGACAGTATATTGCAGGGAAAGTTACAATTGGGAAGTGATTCTATTAGATTGCCTGGTGAAGAGAAAAGAGTACATTTACTTCTTGAACTTTTCTAGGTCGAGAAATATGCCTTTAAGGTTCTTAGGAAGACTCTTGATGTGGACATTTTAGTTCTTCCCTACTCCTTCTCCCGCCCCAACACAGACATCCTAGTTGTTCTCATGTCT